AAAGCCTTCGGTCTACGTTTTCTTGGATCATTACAAGTATCCTATTGTGTTTATTTCCCACTTCTTTTAACGACATGATATATTTTCATGTTCAGAGGTCAGGAGATATTGGATTTCAAAGCTGATAGTATTAGAGAGAATCTTGGGAGAAATTTAAAAATAACCAGATTTACAAGTAGTTATTGAAATTTAGTCACTTTTCATGTAAAGATAAAGTTGAACGAAAACATTGTTTAAATCCGGAAAATACTCCAGTATACTTTGCTGGAACTCCAGTATAATATACTGGAGCCAGCAAAGTATACCGGTCCAACATAATATGCTAGAAGTTCGCGCACCGAACTCCAGTATATTATGCTGGACCGATCTCTGTTGCAACAAAATAGTGGTTATTTTTTAATGACTTGGCAAACGCTAGCTAAATGACCAATCCGAAAACTGGCTAGCCCATGCTATTTTGACGAGAATTTGTCTCCCTCCAATTGGTTAATAGCCAAAAACGAGGGGGACTTCGTCAAGCAGTAAATTTCATGAACCGTTGTAAATTAAACACGATCCAAAACAACCTGGCAATCAGACTGCAATAAATATTCTTAGTAGCATACGCCCCTCAAAGTCACATTCTAAACGACTTCTAAGATTATTTGCAATGTAATATGTGCTGCTTTCATAATGGGAGAAGGATAAAGCAAGCCACTTGATGCTTGAAGATTTCCAATCAGGGGCCATATTGAGTAGCTCCACCCCAATCTGATTCTTGTTTATTCCATGTCGACTAGCAGAGCAGCACAGTACCAATAACCAGCCCCTGAATTACGATTGCTTCACGATGCAGGTCACGTTGAATAACTAAATTAGTTCCCTCCTAGTTTGCATCCCTGAGCACACCAAGAAATGCACTGTTGATGCACAAACTTCAGGAGGTTTTCCCAGGCTCCTCAGCTCTACCAACAGCTTGACAAGGACACCATAAAATTACAATGAGAGCAAGAACTTTATGCACTGAATTAATAGATTATTGCATTAGCCCAATGAATAAACCATTCGTTCAGAGAGCTCTGTACCAACAGCCCTCAAGTATCTGTGCAGTTGCGTCTCCATAAACCGCCTTTCGCTGGAACCAAAAGCTTCCCGCAAATCCTTTGAAGAAAGAAAGTAAATCGGTTACATTAAGCATAAAGCAGAAAAAGAACTGTTGGAAAGGTATTTTTTTTGCATGAGTTTTCTGAATCAGAACACTTACTAGAAGCAGCATAACAAGTTTATCTATCCTTAAAGCCATATTTTTTCAATGGGTAAACCATTAGTAGAGAACCAGATCACTACTTGCTGCTTCTTTGCTGTTTTGTTTTTCATTTCTATACCTCACATTTGTGTTTGTCATCATTCCAAAGCACATAATTTTAAGAGGACTTTATATGTAACATTTTTAGTCTAGAATAATTATAATAAGGACTATACTTCACTTTGATGGACTATACTTCACTTTGATGGACTATACTTCACTTTGATATGCAAAAGCTGTTAATGTAAAAGGCAATGAATATTTACTTTGTATCTCAGACGAACTTCCTTCAACCCAATCAAAACATTGCCAACATCTCCATTTTCTACTTTGGGCAATTGGACGTCACTGCTCTCAGGGTCCAATTCGTCATCCGAATCTTCAAAATCAGAGTCATCCATTTCCTCATCCTCACCAACAAAAATATCATCTGATCCATGAAACTGTTTTTCATCATTTTGCTCCTCATAATTTTCAAGGATACTAGGCGGCAAATGCTCTCCATTTTCTGTGGCAATATCAGATAAAACCACATACCGTTTTCTGTCTAGCAGTGGCTTGGCAACATCAAATGGAACCCACCTAATTAGAAGAAATATTGTCAGTCAGAACACAGAAGGTTAGTCCTGGTGCAATAACAGATCATGATTGGTGAGTAATCCTACTACATGATAACAGTTAGCACACAAATAGCAACACGTGAAGTCATGTTCATGCTGGCTAAAGATTCAGCTATATGCACAGTGCAGTGTAGTTTGATTTTCCAACAGGATAACCTCAACAATATCTGGTTCCAATATTACATGTATAAAAGAAGGGTGAAAGATATCACAAGCCCTTATTTTTAAGTTAGGCCCCCATAATGGCATTGTTGGTTGAAATTAGTACAAGAGCCTAGGTAAAAAGTTTTGATAGTTACGGGTCTTGATTGTCACACAACCACTTCTGTCGGCTACAATTAGAAGTGTGTTAAACTTAACAATGCTTCTTTTATTTTCCTGTTGATGACATTTTTTTTTTTTTTTTGATGATTGAGAAATCAGTCTAGGGCCAACCTTTAGGACCAACCACAGCTTTCGAAACTCAGGGATATTTAGCCCGCCGCTCTACCTTTCTCCACTTAAATACCAAGCTCTGCATGCCGCAGTGCTCGAACCTGTGACCTAAGTCACAGGTCCTCAACCTTCGCTAGTTGAATTAAGCCCTGGGGCCTGTTGATGGCACTTCTCATGAGCAGAATTAAATAGCAACGATCATATATTTGTCACAACTATCGATAAAACTAATAAAACACCTAATCCCTATATTTTTAAAGATAATTATAAAATATCACATAACTTGTTATGTTATTATGCTATAGTTGTCAAAAATAACTTTGGATGTAAAAATGAAGAGTCCGCGCAATTTAGGACAAAAGTGACTATTTGATGCTGAAATAGGAAGTTAGGGACTAAGTGGTAACTAAAAATAGTATAAGGGCCTCGCTAAGTTTTTCCATTTAGTTAAGGGCTTGGTTGTGATTTTTTTTTTTTTTGATGATGTAAGTAGAATATATCATAAAATGCATCAGGAAGATGCAAAAGTTACAAAAGAAGTGAGTTTGACAGCTCATTTACAGTTGAGTGCTACAAAACTAAAGAGCTGACAAAGTCCAAAAAAACATCAGAGTTGTTTACAGTAGTAAGGTTAGCCTAGTGAAACAAATTAACCAAACATCTAGCCTTTAAGCAACCTATTGAAGTTGATAATCCATCAAAACATCTACTACTCCTTTCGACCCAGATACACCAAAAAATGCTTGCAGGTACCATATTCCAGACTTTCTTGATGGTTCTGTCAACTTCCCTTGAGCTCCAGGCACATAAGCTCACAACTTCCCTTTAAGGGCTTGGTTGTGATTGGAAATGGTAGAAGGGCCAACTGAGACTTTCAGTTTCTTCAAGGGCCTCTATTGTCTTCCCTAAAAAGAATTTTAAGCTGATCCATATAACAAGGTATCAAGAAGATTATAATAGGCTTCTAGGGGCATTGCTAAGATTTTCCATATAGTTTAAGGGCTTGATTGTGACTAGAAATGGTAGAAAGGCCAAACTGAGGCTTTTAGACAATTCAAGGGCCTCTTGTGCCATTTTCCCTTAAAAGAATTTCAATCTGGTCCATTTAACAAGATATCAAGACCATATTAGGCTAAGGCCACAAAAAAAATTAAGACATATTACTATTTCCGTTTCACAGATAATAGGCTCCAAGTCACTTGCACTTGATGCTGCAATAGATCAAGCCAACTAATTGAGCTTGACTCAGCTGATTCAAAATAACTAACCAGCAATTCACCTGGAAGCATCATTCAATCACATACATGGCAATGAGAAATGCCATGACCAAAGTGGAACAAATGAAGATCTTAAAACAATAACCCATGATTTATTCACCAAATATGGAGACACACACACACACACACCATCAATAGTCAGTGTCTACGTTGCCCTTGAACATCACTACCCCACAGCAGATAGTAACTTCAGGGCCTACTTTGAACCACAATAGTCATGGCCTTGGAGCATCAAACAGTAAACGGCATGGATGATGACTTGGAGAAGCTCTCGTTCAACCAAACAGATTTCGTGTTTACTCAAACCAATCATATCTAATTGTATCCAACAAATTATTTTGTCTCCCTTCTCATATTTTTTAATGCGAATTCAAGATTGGGACATTAAGTTGATACTGCAGTGTTTAAGTTTCGATAACATAAGTTGTTCATTACAAAAACTTCAGCCAATCAAGTCTAATTTTACTAATTTGCTCCTAACCATAATATTTGCCTCCTTTCTTTTTTCTTACCTTATATAAAAATCTAGAACTCAATTCAAGAAAATGAAGATAATGGAAAATGTCCTCACTCAAGACACAGGTATAATGCCAGTTCAGTATAAGCAACAGAAGAAGTGGACGAATATTCTGCTTAAACAGAACTAAGCTAAAGTTGTCAAATTATATTACAATATCAACAATGCGTCCTATTTTCTCTCAAGAAACATTCTCAAATCTAAGAAAGAAGAACTACAAGCGTTTTAGTAAAATATGGATAGCAGAATAGCAAGTTTTAAAAGAATAACGGCCTTGTCCTTAATCTCAAATTAACAATATGTTTCTGTTTGCAATTTAAGAGAGAAGATAAACTTACTGATAACGCAAAGGGCAGAGCAGCTCAGAAGGCCGGTATGCTGCTTTGTATCTCATTTTGTTGCAGGAGTGAATGTAGTAGCCCAGATAGTAGTACTGGAGACTTGGACAATGTACTTGATTCTCCTTAATCCACCTTATTTCTTGTAGGGCTGAGTACTTGCCTAAAGATAAGAAGGCTAGATCTGGATCCCAGAATAAATATTTACTTGACAAACACTTGGGAAGGATGTCTATTACACCAACTGCAACTAGCCGTCCATCAATCAGATACTGCTGATGGAAAGAACCAAAGCCGCAGGGGGGAGCAGTAAGGTCCCCAGAGGGTGGAACGAATACTAGAGGTGTATCAACCAAAAATCTCCTATATGAGCTCTCAGCAACTTCGTCTGGCGAATCATTGTGCACCCTAATCTGGTACCTTCTATACAAGGAATATTCTTCCGGATCAAAACTGGACCTTTTAAGACGAACCTCAAACCTCCTCCTTTTGAGCTCAGGGCTTCCTTGTGCTGTTGATGAGCAGCTCTCTTTACTGCAGCTTCCTGATGTGGATTGCTTTGACTCATTCTGGCTGCTCACTACACTGTCTTCATCAACTCGTCTTTCCGAAGAATAGAAGTTTATATGTCCGTTGCAAGCTCTAACTAAAAAGCCCGATGATTCTGCTAGATTGTTTAGACAGCTAGCTAGNTCTTTTGAGCTCAGGGTTTCCTTGTGCTGTTGATGAGCAGCTCTCTTTACTGCAGCTTCCTGATGTGGATAGCTTTGACTCATTCTGGCTGCTCACTACACTGTCTTCATCAACTCGTCTTTCAGAAGAATAGAAGTTTATATGTCCGTTGCAAGCTCTAACTAAAAAGCCTGATGATTCTGCTAGATTGCTTAGACAGCTAGCTAGTTTTTCAGCAATCAATTTTGGGGAATCAGCAGCCATTTCGCCCTCCCAAGCCCCCAATTTTGATGATTTTCCATGCTCAACATCTTTTCTGCATCGCCTTAAAGCAGCTGCAATTTGGAACGCGATGCTGCTGGTAAATAACAGATCCTCAGACCCTTCAGTGGATAACTTTCTTTTCACAGGTGCAACCTTTTTGACAGAGGCTTTTGGAAACTGAACGTCAGAGCAGAGATCCCCACTTTCAATGCATGTTTGTACTGCTTTATCTATCTGACTTTCCATATAGGGGATCAACGGTTCAGTTTTGTCCTTTTCTTCAAGGTTATCTCTCAAGGACTTCATTGTTGCAGGGCTTCGACTTTGACTGAAGGTAGTGGTTTGTGAAACGCCTGAAGTATCTGTGGTATCCATCAAATCATCTGATCTTCGATCCAATGTGCCATCCAGAAACCTAGGCATTCAATTTTTTTCAAGCTTAACCATATCTAAAAAAATCCCAATATCCAATACAGTCAAACACCATGTGCAGATTTTGAAGTTTGTGCAATCACAAAAATCATCTACTTGATTTAATGAGCTTGATATTAGCAACAACCAAACTCTAAATAAAGTAAATCTTCCAATTCTTC